TTTCCTTGGAAGCGAATCATTATAAAGATTAACACATAGTCTACACAGCCACCGATCTGTCGCAACCCTATCCAACTTGAACTTTGTCTTCCAGCTAAAATATTCGTTGTAAGCAGTGTCATTTTTATCCAAGTACTTGATGTAATCAGAGAAAGCTCTGATACTCGGGAAATCCAGGATGTTAATATAGGATCCAGGAATAGCCACCTTAGCGTCATCATAATTAGACCCTCCTAAAACTATGGGRATCATGTTGTTTTCAAATGGAGTCCTCCAATATTTTTCAGTTACGTAGTCGATACACAGTGCATTTTCAAAGGAAAGGTAGAACTTGAATCTTTTCAWATAAGGCCCACATTTTGTTGATCCTCTTTTGCAAACTTCTGGACTTACTTGATTGAATARATGGCTGCATTTCCCTATAACAGTAACATTAARAAACTGCAAGATCTTATGAACAATTTTATCCCTAACACCAGCTCCACAGTGGCTCACTGCCCAAGCGATGAGCTTGTCCTTTCCCTTGGCATAGTTGATGTTATTATTATTGTTTCTTTTTAATTCTAAAGCGCTGTAATATCCATAATGGTGAACTATATCCGAGTCAAATTTGTAAGTACAAGTCCAATTGAAAAGTCCGTTATATACAGTGGCATCAGTGCGACTCAGTTGTGGAGATTCATGCGCATAATAGACCCATCTCTGGTGTGGACTTCGACTTACTCGCTTTAACTGATCGTAGCTGAGGTCTVYTTCATGAAAGACGACTGCATCGCTCAAGTGCAACTCCTTCTTGTTGTGAGTTGTCAAGCATTTGTGAGAACATGGCTGCCTAAGAGCTTCGTCAACGTTAGGCCATGGACTCATACCAAACCACGCCGTATAGAATAAAATTCTCTTTGGTCTTATACTTTGCTTACCATGAAAAGTTGCATTCGCAGTTGCATTAGCATCTTTAGGCATCTTTGAGTGTATAGACATCGCCCTAGATGCAATTCTCGTTGGTCTTATACTTTGCTTATCAGGAAAACTTCCATTCGCAGTTGAAGTAGCATCTTTAGACATGTTTGAGTGCGTAGACATCGCCCTAGAATGGTAGAAATGTCTTATTTCATTTCTGAATGATGCAATGATGATAATCGTGGTTGTAAGGGGAACAAACAACAAAAAAGTGAGTTTTTGTCGAACAAACTGAAAACACTGCATAGTTGTCGTCGATCAGTATCAGTTCGAATATGTAAATAAGACATGCGCAGTAGAAGATTGTCAGACCAGAACCAATTGAGCCCAATGTGAGTCTAAATAAAGAGGCAATATCAGTCGTGAAATATTTTGATATTTT